CAAAAGAAAAGGGATTTTGACAGTGGATTTATATTAATAATTTGTAACGTACATCAACTTGGTTTTGAATTTTTAATTCCATCCAAAATTCTTGGTATTTTGGAGAAACTAAGTAGGTTCCCCATGAAAGGGGCAGAGTTCTCATTCTGAAAAGCATGTCAATTCTCTTTGCAAAGTTTCACTTTTCAAGTCAGTACATACTCAGAAATAAGAATGAAATAATAATCAAAGTCCGTTCCAAAGAAAACCCCTAGTATTATAAGCATTTTATATGATGTGCAAGTAACACACAAATACTCAGCAAACAGTTCAAGACTTCTTTCATACAAACCATTGTGTTCATTACCAATATAATGTTTTCTTCCCCTCTGTGTATTCTAGGGTCCCCCAGGTCTGAGAGGTGATACGGGTGCAACAGGAAGAGATGGTGCTCGTGTGAGTATCTTTTGGTTCTACTTGAGTTTACCTTGCTGTGCCTCAGAACTTAAGTGACTGAAAAGGATGTTCATGACTTAAGTTTCCCCCTGTATTGTGTTACATCTTCTTTCTGCCAATTTTAATACAATTCAATGTGATTTCATTGCCCCTAGTCCAGGGATGTTTGATTTTAGGAGGAGAAAGAGAGAAAAGTGTTTACTTCTCACTCATCCAAGCGGAGAATTTACATGAGCAGAGAACCTTGTGTTGCAGAGACAGCTGTTCACTGTGACATTATCTTCTTTAATTTCATGAGGTCAGCCCAGACAGCTAATTCTAAAGGCAGCCTGCAAAGCTACACAAAAAATTATCATTAATTTGAGATTTCAGGTGCCTGTCCTAGAATTAATACATTTGGAAGGAGAATAACAGAATAGATCACGCATCCTTTATATTGAAAACATCTGGAAGAAAATTACACACCTTTCTCTAGGGGGAAAGAGAAAAAATATTTAGAGTAGTTAAATAAATGTGCTCCTACTCACATTTTGTTACAAATGGTGTCCTGTCTCTTGACCTGCAGGGTCTCCCTGGTGCTATTGGTGCTCCTGGCCCTGCTGGTGGTGCTGGTGATCGGGTAAGTCTACTCTTTGAATGAAAAAGCATCTTCTTTGTTTATGCAGTTCACCCACACATGAATATTAAAGATTATTTCTGTCTTTCTAATATGCACAAGTTCTGTACATTTTTCAGATTTGGGAGGCAAGGGTTCTTGAGACTCTTCATCAAAGTTTGCCATAGGACCCCAAACCTTTTCCTAAAAGGACAGGGAAGTGATGCATATCTACATGGTACTGTGTTATATGTGGAGAAGATTCTGATTCAGGCTTTGGCTGAATTCTGCCCAGTCAAGGTTAAACTCCACAATCCTTCTCACACTATGAGAACAGGTTTTGATATAGTGATGAGTAACCACACATTATCTCAGAATGATCCTCTCTGAGAATCGTTAGAAATTACTAATACTAGAAGAATTTTCAGCAACATCCCCTCCACTGGAGACACAGGGGACTCACTACATGCACCAGTACCACAAAGTCACCCCCATTCTGACTACAGCAAGGCCTTTCCCCATGGTGTCATAATGTTTTCTGCTATCTGTTTAAGGGTGAAGGAGGTCCTGCTGGTCCTGCTGGTCCTGCCGGTGCCCGTGGTATCCCTGTAAGTAGCAATTTCTACAACCATTCTTGTGTCAAAGACATGATGTTCAGAAAACTGCCCTTTTAAAGCCCAATCCAACCAGTCCTCTCTTTTTTGTCCTCTCCTTAGGGCGAACGCGGTGAGCCTGGTCCCGTAGGTCCAAGTGGATTTGCTGGACCCCCTGTGAGTTCTGTTTGTGCTTTTCTCATGTTGATGCCATGCCATCCCTCTCTTTCCTTTACAAGAGTCCTAGCTCCTCATTCTGTCTGTTTTTCTGCCTGTAGGGTGCAGCTGGTCAGCCTGGTGCTAAAGGCGAGCGTGGGCCTAAAGGACCTAAGGGTGAAACTGGACCAACAGGTGCTATCGGCCCAATTGGTGCTTCTGGACCACCAGTAAGTGAATCATGTCTTGTTAAAATGCACAGTTCTTAACTGCGCTATGCAAGAAATACACTTATCTGAAGGCCTTCAATTCTGAAAAAGTAATTAAAAAAAAAAAGAGACAAAAATTCAAAACAAACTAGGCTGTGAGGAAAGTCACCATACTGATTTTTCACGCATTATATAAACTTTGTCAATCTATTTGTGTGGGCTCAGATTGTGAGTCTGGAACTGAAATAAGGAGAAAAAAAAATCTACTTTTCAACTTGCTATGAAGATCAGCAAAATCAGTCTGTCTTGGACCATCCAAGCAGTGATTGTGGGTAAGTTCTGAGCTGAGGATGTTGATACCTTTCTTTCAAAGTCAGGACGTGCTGTCACAATCTAATTTTCAGACTCAGTCATCCAGAAGCATATGTGGAAGTTTGTTCATGCACCCACTTGCACACAGGCTTTTCATGTGCTAACAGCTTTATACCCTAAAGCTATATACTGCTTCACATGCATGCAGCCCATCATTGGGGAGCTGGTTGAAATCATGCAGAAAGTCAGACCCAGGTACTTCAAATACCATGAAGTGTTGCAAGACCAAATGGCTTGGGGTACTTACTGTATAGTTTTAATAGACCAATACCAGGCTCTTGCACTATGTGGATGTGTAAGTCACACAGTGCAAAAGGAAAACTTACTGATTTTGCCCTACTTTGACATTCTGACCTCCAGATTTCTCCAGAAGCATGTAACATTTGCAAGGAAAGTCACTTGAATCATAAATGTCTTAAACAACTCTTTTCAGGCTTTATGATACTGATTTAAAATGTCTGTGAGAATTTAAAACCCCGGTACCAGGATAGACAGTGTGGTTTTGGGCCCACTTATCCTCCTGCTGGAGTAAAAATTACCCTTAGCTATCACAGGAGAGACATTGAGCCCTTATTCTAAAGAAGGAACATTAACTGCCTTTGCTTAATCCATCTCTCTTTTTCAATCTTTCATACTTAGGGTCCCGTTGGTGCTGCTGGTCCCGCTGGCCCTCGTGGTGATGCTGGTCCTCCTGTAAGTCTTCAGGCTTTTGGTACTGACATTGTTGCTTTTCATTAAGTTATTGTTACCTTTAAAATTAATCTTCCTTTTCACTACCATTTTTAGGGTATGACTGGTTTCCCTGGTGCTGCTGGAAGAGTTGGTCCTCCTGGCCCTGCTGTAAGTAACTAATGAAGATGTTCTAATAGCAGATAAATGAGAAGTTGCTTTGGTTAGGGATAATCCTAATTTTTGTTTCATTGACACAAATTCTAACTGCACTGAACACCTCAGATCCCTAAAAGACTGGATAAGAAAAAATATCTAACTGTTCAAACTCCCAGAGTAGTAGCTATGCATTTAATTCCTGGGGTTTTTTTACAGTCCATCAAGCATACCTATTCATCTTGAAGTACCCAACCATTTGCAAAAACCTTTAATTGCTTTTGTTCAAATCTATGGCTACACAGTTATTCCTGGTGGAGTGGAATAAGGACATCTTGTCCAGTCTGCAAAAGCATGTTAAGGTTATCTTATATCCACACTTTCTAAACTTATCTGCAGTTCCAGCCCCTGTCTTGAGCAGGGAAACCTCACACTATGTTTTAGAATGTGAATCCCTACTTACTTATTTTTCAGCCAGAAAATCTCATTACAGATTGACATTTGAAATTTTTCTTCTCAAAGGTGTTTCCAACCTCTACCAAAAGACAATTCTTTCCCCAGATACTCTGGATTTAAATAAATTTTAAATCCCAGTATCCAAAGAAAACAATCCTGTTGAATTGGAATAGGTTGGGTTTTTTTCTCATAGGTTTTATAATTGCAAATAATGTTTCCAGAGAGAGATAAATCCATATTTTCCCACCAAATTATGCCACTTCCACCTGCCCTGATTAAAAAAAAAAAAACAACACTCAGTTCAATAATTCTACAGATTTGAGCTATCCTCTGCTGACAAAGCAATCAAAGTTGCTGCATCAGAGTAGCTGTTTGTTGCAAAGCACATGTTTTTTACATAGACCTCAAGTGAAGTTTATCTCTGATATCCCCAGTTAATGCTTCTATATTGTAATGGTATCATATTCATACTAGGGCATCACTGGTCCCCCTGGTCCTCCTGGCCCAGCTGGCAAAGATGGTCCTAGAGGTCTACGTGGTGATGTTGGACCAGTTGGCCGTACTGGTGAACAAGGTATTGCTGGCCCACCTGGCTTTGCTGGTGAGAAAGGTCCTTCTGGAGAGGCTGGTGCTGCTGTAAGTTACTGAGTATCACATCTCTTTAAAGGTGTTTCTGTTATGTAAATGTTATGGTCTCTAAGGTACTTCTGGTGTTTGTGAAGGGCTTTTCTGTTTTACCCATGAATTTAGCAAAGCTTTTAAATAGAAGTTGCAGTGAGACGCAAGAAATTGTTTATAGGCGTGATTGACAAACATGCCTTTAAAAAGTGAACCTGATCCCTGGATCAAGTTATTTTTGCTCTCTGTTTTTCTTGTGGCAGTTTTATCTTTCTCTGTAGGTAGAGCAAATGAAAGCAACAAGACTAACCACAGAAAAAATTGATACTTAGTCTGAGAAAGAGAAGCAGAGTCTCCTGCTCTGAAATAGATCATCATGGATGGAAAAGGGAACATCCATTTATAACAATCTCAGTACATATCTGCATCAGAAACTCTGATTTGCAGGGATCAGGGTGTTAAAGTTGTCTAGCCCCAGGTTGACTTAGAACTATGCAAATAAATTAATTAATTTTGAGTATCTTTAAGCTTGCACATCCAAATTACTGGCTTTTTTTAAGGTCATAAACATTTCTTATTGAAGTGAGCACTTGTGTGAAATACCACCATTGTTTCTCAACAAAAAATTATAGAAGTTTCTTCTGTGATCTGCAGAAGTTGCAGCTGAGAATGAAATCTTCAGTATCATTGACAGATATGTACATTAAATTTATTTTTGTCTTGTAATATAAACATTATTCTCTTCACATCACAGGGTCCTCCTGGAACCCCAGGTCCTCAGGGTATTCTTGGTGCTCCTGGTATCCTTGGTCTGCCTGGCTCTCGGGGAGAACGTGGTCTTCCAGGCATCTCTGGAGCAACAGTGAGTATATGATTAGTAAACTGCTTTAAACAAATAATGTTTAAAAAACCCAAAACAATACTACCAACCAAAAAAAAAGAAAAACAAACAAACCCAAACAAAAAACCACATCCAAAAAAAACCATTTATGGGAAACCAGGGAAAAGGAGATGTAGATTCTGCTCTTTCCATTGCTGCTGGAAACAGAAGATATGAACCTAACAGACTTTGAGCAATGGAAGAAATTATGGCTTGTTGCAGACAATCAAGACTTTTATCAGCAAGTAAGCATATTTCTGACTGTCATCAGAGGTTTCTGATAGTAAAATTTAGAATGAAGATAATATTTGATATAGTTAGGTATGTTTCACATATCCTGATTCTTCTTCATTTCCTGAACTGGTTTCAGAGAAATGTTTGTTAGATAAAGGCCAAAAGTTCTGTAAGACTGGTTTGTGTTGTATTATAATGTCACATTTTGTTACCACTGTTCCTGTATTAGGGTGAACCTGGTCCCCTGGGTGTTTCTGGTCCTCCTGGTGCCCGTGGTCCCTCTGGTCCTGTGGGTTCTCCTGGTCCAAATGGTGCTCCTGGTGAAGCTGGACGTGATGTAAGCTGTCTTATTCCACTTCAGATTGCTTTTCCTTTATTCTGAGGCAAAGACAAATACACAGAAAAAGTGGATGGAACTGGAGATTGTTCTGCTAGCAGACTTGTACCTTGCAAAGTCTTCAGAGAAAATTATATCAGGATTTTTATAGATATGGATTCCCATCCCTAATTAGGTGACAAATTCTTCAAGGCACAACTTATGTCTGAAATACATTCTGGAGTCACTATCAGAATCTTTTGACTTCTTTACTTAATTGCCAAGAAAGATGAAGTGGGGAAAAGATTACTTCATTGTTGGAACTGAGAACAAATAGTACATTCTGAGGGATTTACTCTGGCTATAGAGAAGAGTATATCACAAAAGCCTTGTTTATCAACAAATTTTCCTAAACATCATGTAAGACACATTATACATATCTTTCAGGGACGTATAAAAATTGTAGTATAATTGTAGTATAATATACCTCAAGTATAAAAATTTACTTGAGGTATCTAGTGATTCACGGTTTTAAAGACAAAGCTTTTTTAAATTAAAACCCACTCAGAAGGCCTATGAAGCACCTTACACAAAGTGTTATAATTCAGTTGTTGGAGTTGTGCAACACCCAGCACCATTTTGGAGTTCTAACAAAACAGATACACTTAAACCTTGTGGCTGAGCTACACAGTGTTTCCCAATGTGAATTCTCTCTCCACAAAACCTGAAGTTTGCAGGGTAAAAGCACTACAGAGCTAAGTCTGGCCTGTGTGGCAGGTACTGCTGAACTGCAGGTTAAGGCACAATGGTGATGTGAGTCCTGTGCAGAAGGTGTAATATGGGAACACTGGACTGGAAAAAATTGTTCCTTCTAATGTCCTGCCTTGTAGGTGATTACTTGGAGAACAGAGCCCTGCTCCAACACCTTCACAGAGTAGCAGATAAACTTATCTGTCCAAGTTAGTAGTTCACCTTAAAGCAGGGTCCTGAGACTTGCAGGATCTCAAAGGGAACAGAGAATAATAATTAAAAAGAAACAAACTTTATGTTCCATGGGAATTTTCTGAAGGAAAAGGTTTGCTTTTGTACACAGTGAAACAGGTGAAGTGAAATTAATGTTCACAAAGGAATCCATTTAACCTTGTGAAGTACTACAGCTAAAGTAATTTAATTTTCTGAGAAAATTAATGTATTTGAGGGATTTGAGAATGGTATCTATAAGGAAGACCTTTTTGTCTTCAAGCTTAATACTATTCCATTCAATGTCTTCTTACTATCATTAGAAGAAATTAAACTGACACACAGTTCCATGTGAGATGAAAGGTGATGGAATTTAATATTTTTTCATGGTCTTTTAACAGGGCAATCCTGGAAATGATGGTCCTCCAGGCCGTGATGGTGCTCCTGGTTTCAAGGTAACTTGTCTGGTTTTTTTATTTCACTGTCATGGAAGAAATATTCCAATATGTGTAATTCAGTAGTAGCACACTCCCTACTGTTGTGTTCCTTTGTTCCCAGGGTGAGCGTGGTGCTCCTGGTAATCCTGGTCCCAGTGGTGCTCTGGGTGCTCCTGGTCCTCATGGCCAAGTTGGTCCTTCTGGAAAGCCTGGAAACCGTGGTGAGCCTGTAAGTTGATGAGACCATTATTTTTTTATTAAGGTCTAAGAGGACTAAGATTTGTCCACCAGACATATATACATAAAATACCTCACACCTCTACAATATGTGGATAATTACTTCACTTTCTGCAAAGATGTGTTGAGCATGGAACCTTCATTAGAACAGTATACAGCAGTGACATGCATTTTCTATTCTTGTTTCAGGGTCCTGCTGGTGCTGTCGGTCCTGCTGGTGCTTTTGGTCCAAGAGGTCTTGCTGTAAGTCTGATTTTAAATATATTACCACATTGATGAAGGAAGAGAAAACATGCTTTAATAATAAGGACTCATGACTCTGCTCAAGATACCAGCCCAAAAAGTAGTGCTTAAGGACCTGTGAATGTTTATGGATCTAGAATCTCAATCAGCATTCTCTTTTATGGGATCAGTCCTGGAAGTTTGGCATTAGCACCCTTCCTGGTTGTGTTAACAGGATGTAATTTATACACACTGGGGCAACCTATGGCATAATGTAGAATGTTTATGCTTATTCCTCTGACTACTGTGTTCCTTCCTAGGGCCCACAAGGTCCACGTGGTGAGAAAGGTCTCCCTGGTGATAAGGGTCCTAGAGGTCTGCCTGGCTTGAAGGGACACAATGGATTGCAGGGTCTTCCTGGTCTGGCTGTAAGTAAATGATTTTTAGGATTTTGAATATAAAGAGAGGGAGGAAAAAAAAAAGGAAATAAGGTCACCCTAGGGTGGAATTATATATGCACCACCCAGCAGATTGATACCACTTACTCCACTCTGCATCATTTTCAAAGGGCATTAAGAGTCTCTTTAACACTCAGTGCTCTCCCTATTAAATGGCAAATTTTAATAGGCTTTTATTAATAATTTTAATAATTAATTATTTTAATGACTTTAGAACTATGAGTACTATTAATTGCCTAGAAACTCGACTGCGTTTGGCTAGCACAGAATTAAAAAAACTCTGTCTTTTTGTTAGTATTTCTTATTTTGACCAGAAATTGTAAAGCCTCTCTATCATAAAGCAGAAGTAATTTATGAATTTTCTTCCCTTTTAAATTGAGGTATTGCCTTCAGGAATTCTGACTTTTATTTTAAAGCCTTCTCTGAAAGCTGAAGAAACAATATAGAGAATTGTATAGGTTATCCCATTAAATACCTCTTTACGCCCTCTCTCTTTCCTCCCCAAAACAGGCAGTTTAAATTCCATTTATAATGGAATTATATTATACTTCATTAATAAATGTAATTAGCCCTAGAATACCATTCTCCGACTATAGCTCCTTCTTGAATCATGCAAACACAAACATGTGCCACTGCTTTTTTTAACGACTGTGTATGTATCTTCCCCAATAGGGACAACATGGTGATCAAGGTCCTCCTGGTAACAATGGCCCTGCTGGCCCAAGGGTATGTGAATTTCAAACCATTTCTAATTTCTAATAATTCTCCCATTACTTTTGTGCAATATATATGTACACTCCCATTTATACGAATCTCTATTTGTAGTGTTTTTACCATCATTAAACTGTTCAAATTTCCTTTTAGGGTCCACCTGGTCCCTCTGGTCCTCCTGGTAAAGATGGTCGCAATGGTCTCCCTGGACCTATTGGCCCTGCTGGTGTGCGTGGCTCTCACGGTAGCCAAGGTCCTGCTGTGAGTATAACTCTTATTTTTTTGATTTAACACATTTATGTCGCACAAGAAGCCTAGCAGTGTAGGAATATATGTGAGTTTATTTATTAAAAAAAATATTAAACATTTCCCTGTTAGGTCTAAACTTGAAGTCCTTGTTCACTCCTTACAACCAGACAGCAAATACACAAAGGAGTGTGGTAGTCCTACACTGCATCTTCCACTGCTTCAGCCCATAGCAATCACCACAGGGCAAGTCCATATGTGCTGCCTCTGATTAGAGCTAGGGGTGCCAGGAGTTAAGTAGGACTACGTATGTGTATGTGTATGCATTTGATTGAGAGAAAAATATATCTAACAGAATGACTCTTGTCTTTTGCTTTTGGAAAACTTTAGGGTCCTCCTGGACCTCCTGGTCCCCCTGGTCCCCCTGGTCCCAATGGTGGTGGATATGAAGTTGGCTTTGATGCAGAATACTACCGGGCTGATCAGCCTTCTCTCAGACCCAAGGATTATGAAGTTGATGCCACTCTGAAAACACTGAACAACCAAATTGAGACCCTGCTGACCCCAGAAGGCTCCAAAAAGAACCCAGCTCGCACCTGTCGTGACCTAAGACTTAGCCACCCAGAATGGAGCAGCGGTATGTTGGTGCCAGATATTTACCCTTTCTGGCTCGGAATCCATATAGCTTATTAACTTCCTTTGGTGGCATCCTTGGCCACCTGGCAAAAATGCTAAATGACAAAGAGGTTATTGCTGTCTCCACTGAAAATAGATACATTTTGAAAAGCTCTTTATAGTTATTGCTGCACATTATTCCAATAATTTTTTCAAAACAATGCAAAAATACTTAACCCTAGATTTCAAATACAGTTACTTATACCCTAACAATCCAAAATATCTATGCATCCCACTTATCACCTTAATATTGTACCTAGCTGTGATACTTATGGCCTCTCTCTGAGTTCCTATATCAGACAGGTGAATATGAACTGAATGCAAAGGTTAAGCTGAGTGAACTGTTGTTCACATTTCTTTCCTCGATGGCAGGCTTCTACTGGATTGATCCCAACCAAGGCTGCTCTGCAGATGCCATTAGAGTATACTGTGACTTTGCCACTGGTGAGACTTGCATTTATGCCAACCCTGACAATATTCCCGCTAAGAACTGGTATATCAACAAGAATCCCAAGGACAAGAAGCACATATGGTTTAGTGAAACTATCAATGGAGGCAGCCAGGTAAGTGATGTATGGGAGGATGACTGTTTTCTACATGCTGTCTGAAGAGTTCCCAACTCTCTGACTCTCAGCAATCAAGCAGATAAATTGAACTCTCTTAGAGGAGAAATATGGAAAAGGGAACTAACTACCTTTTATCTCAAGGGCACAGAGCTCTGGTTCTGGTTTAGATCACAGTTTGTTAAAAGTGTTTCTCAGTATTGTTCTAATATTTCTTATGTCTACTAATGATCAATTCAGCATGACTAATGGCTATTGCTGAGGGAAGCCTGGACTGCAATATGGTACAATAGTGTAAAGACAGTCCAGAAATTCTGAAAAAGTAAGACAACCAGATTTGCTTACTCTTTTAATAGAGATTTTCTTACATATGACACTGTTCCTGAAGAACATATTTATATAATTATATATTTATATTACACATCACAGATCCACAGTGTATGCCACAGTAACATACAGAATTGTCAGTGTAAATAAAAACAAGAAATGTCTTCTTGCACCATCCCAGCCAATTACAAATAAATCACTTTTGTACATTGAAGGAGGTCTAATT